ACAATTTGTAAACCCAAATAGATACCCAAATCAACCACAAACCGAAATAAAGCAAGCAAGGAAAACAAAACATATGCGAGAAGGGGACATCAAAGGAAACTAGAGAGGGATTGATGGGAAGCAAAAGACAATTACGTTCAATTTGTATCACAAAGACCCGGCGATTTCACTTCCCTCTTATTTGGAAACAACTAAAAAGAAAGGGACGCAGTGTAACTGTAATTTGGCTGCAGCCAACCGAGATCAAAACAAATTGTATCGATGGCACACAACCGATTCAATTACGTTAGTTTGGTGTATATTTATCCATAAAAAGGCATGGCTGGCCAAACGTTAAGTACCATCCATATCAGAATTGCTTTTTGTTTGCTCGCGCTTTGCCTTCAACTGCAAACATTTGCGCACAAACACACGCTAACGGACCGCTCGCCTCGACATTATGGAGCTATTTTAGTCGGCACTCGCTCATAGTTATAGTCCAAGGTCACATGACCCCACACGCCCACACCCGCTCACACACACACATAAACACTTATACAAATATACACACTCGCCCGACTGTGAAATATTTTTAAAAAGCAAAAGCGTAGCACATTTTTCGGGGCGCCCATTTTTGACACTTCATTAGTTCGAGTGAATGAATGTTTCCGTTGTTGTACGTGTATGAAAAGCAAGCGGAATAATAATGATGATGATGAATAGAATGCGGATAAGGAAGCAGAGCAAAGTTTTATTATACCATTCTCCGGCCAACACCTTTTGGCAATGGGAAATTTGCCTTTAAAGTCAGCGAACTTGCCATTGCAACCAATAACGAATAAGGAATAACGAATCGAAGGCAAAAACTTTCTGCTGCCAAAAGGGAAGTAGAGCCATAAAATCGCTACCGGCAGTTTGGTAATCGCCGGATTGGGCCAGGCAAAAAGCTGGGGAAAATTCTGGGGAAAACGCCAGCACGACTTTCTCATTCATGATTTACGATGCGTCTCCGCTGGGCACCGAGGCCATTCCCCAGCCAGGTGGCACAAATCAATGTGCTCCGTGCTCCGAGCTTCGTGTTTCAGCCATTGTTTTAGCCCGAGATCCCGGCGCAATCCAATGCACATCTCGGGCATTAATCAAGCATAAAAGTGGAACAGACAGAGCAACCGAATTGGTAATAAGACTGCGATAAGCCCCAAGGATATCATACTAATAGACAGAGGGTCCGGCGGGGGTGCAAATCCCCTTCGAAATGATTGTATCTGCGCCATTTTCCCCGTTTTCATTGGCGCACTTGCTAATATCTAAGCCGGAAATTGCGAGAGTTTTTAAATTTTTTCACTTTGCGGGCGTCTTTAATTAGGAGCGTTAATTAAAAGCGAAACCTGTAATTAAAACGTACCGCAACAAAGGTACAATAAAATGTCACTCTAATTGGCGTGCGCAGGTCATATTGCATAATAACCAGAAATAAATAAAAGAACTCAACTGGCCTATGAATATAAATTGCAAGTGAAATGAAAGAAGCGAAAAAAAATGAAAAGCAAACAAGCCGTTTGTATCAATTAAAATAAAGGCTGGTCGTTTGGAAATCCTCACCAAAGTCCTAATAAAAACATTTTAGGCAAAAAAGAGCAGTGAAATAACACAACCAAAATAGTCCCAAAAAAAATAAGCAAAATTTGTTCTCGATTAAAATTAAATATTAAAAGAAGTGCTTTGTTTTTTAAAACTCTTTTATTGTTTTTTAGTAAAAGCAAGGGTCATGTTTCATATTGTTCTGGTTATAATCAGCTTACAGTGTTTACTAGACACTTTTTATCCAATGTCAAGCCTAATTTAAAACAAACTACAAGTATCCCTATACCTTGTTAAGATTCCATGAAGAAACCAAGGACATTCATATTTCAAACCGAAGTTGGCCATCTGCAGTCATCTTTATTAATTGCATTGCAATGAACGTTGGCATTTTCGCACAAATGGGAGCACTAAAAAGGCCAAGAAATGTCAACCAGGCAGATGCAGGCATACAATATATAATGTTGGAATTCTCGAAACGCATCGTCTGACGACGGCGTCATTGTCATGAAGTTCACTAATTTATTGAGGCCATGTCGTATGGTATATCGAATGTATTTTCAGCACAACATTGTCCTCGCCGTTTATATTTTTAGTGGCGAATTCAATTATACTCCGTTGTTAAGGAACGGAGGCCCAGAAATAGAAATGCATATATATTCATATTTATATATTTTTGAAGGGCTTGTTTGCTAGAAAAATGAGCACTTAATCAAGTCTCGCAGATTTAATTAAATGCAGCAAAATAACAACCCGGCGAGCAGGCAGCGATATTAATCATACGTCATGTTGTCAGCTTTTGTGAAAAGCCTGCATAAATCTCTGCCAAGCCGCAAAATGCAGCCTGGTGTAAAAAATGCATGTGTGGGCGCTTGCTGATGGCAAATTGTTTCAAATGTGCTCAATTTAAGTGAAATCGAGAAACCAACAGTGCAAAAATAAAGGATAAAACGAGTAGAGCTGCCTTTCCCTTTTGACAAATTTCAAAAACCCGCCAGCGTTCGTTGTGTGTGCTGTAATAAACTGCCAATGCCAAAAAAACAACCGCCGCAGCTAAAAAGGGGAAGAAAGTGTTGCAAAAAAGAAAGTAAACAGCAGAGGGAACAAATGGCTCGTTTGGCTAACCTTTTCTGTTCGGCTGCCCTGCATTGCTTTTGTTTATAGAAAAGTTTAAATTGTGTCAATTTTTTTTCGACGTTCCATTGCCCGCGCAATGCAAAAAGTTTTGCGAACAAATGAAATGTGGATAAAAACAATTTCCGAAATCAAGACAAGGACAGCGACTTAAGACCACAAAAAGTGTGGGGATAAAACAAGCAAAGTATGCTTTAGGATGTATGCTTTAGGATGACCCTAAGGAACCAAAACAGCAGATTGTACATATCTAGGACTATAATAGAATTCGCATTATTTTACATTTATTTATTGAAGAAAGGTTTACAAAATAATAAACTAATCGATAAGACTTGAGGTTAATGTGATCCGACATACCCATAGATAAAAAGCTTTTTATCAGATTACGAACTTTTACTGTTTTAATAGTTCACTGCGTTCCACTGAAGCGAAAATATTTATTTTTTTCTGTACAAATATTGATTGCGAAATATGAACTTGTGTAAATATGGTGAAACAAAATTAAATCAAATTGTCCAGTTCAATTGAATGAACTGCTTAACGTATATAGCAAGGGCTTTAAACTAGTAAATAAAGTTTCACCCAGCTGGCATTCAATTGGGTGATAGATACTCCTACAATTAAAATCAAAAATATATTTTAATGTCAACTACATGGAATAACTTATTTAGTTTGCTTTAAATGACATTTTCATTATTCTGAGTATAAAGATTTCTGATAAACAAAGAAAATATATAATTTATATACCTAATGTTAAGGAGAACAGCTATTTGATCAAAATTAAACAAGAAATGGGTCAATTTTATAATTTGATTTCAAATAAATCGATAGTTAACTAATATGTTTGGACATTGCCTAAAAAGAGAATAGACAAATGGATAAAAATCCCCATTATAATCTATTGTTTAATTGCCAGACAAAAAATAAAGGCATGTTGATAAATGAAATATGAATAAGCATTCCATTGGTCTAAACACAGATGGATCAATACAATTAACCCTTAAATACATTAAGCTTCCCCAAATGAGTGAGGGTACTCTGCCGATGCCCACCTTCAAAAACACCTAATTTATTGATTTATGTATTTAGTCCATTTGGGAAATTAGGTTTCAATCTTTTCCAATTGATTTCTTTGTCGCTGTCGAAAAACTTTCCTGGCAACTTTCAGCACGAAAATAGTTTGTCGAATTTAGGGGAGAAGTCTGTCGAGAGGAATGCAAATGCTGAGTAACCGAGTGGCCGGCCAAATCCATTGCTGCCAAACTAATTTGTGGTCGGAACTATGCGGGGGAAGCATGTGCGAGCCAAAGCCAAGATAATACAATAGAACAAACTAAAACTTGGTTGGCTCTAGTTTGGTTTCCATAGGAAACTTTGGCCCAGAAATTATTGTCAATTTCTGGAAGGGACTGAGAGGAATCCGAACTTCTGAACGATTAACGCTCGCTCCCGTGGGAGCGACTATAGCTTCGGTGACGCTGACCATGTGTGTATAGTATATGCGTTTGGCAATTATAATGCCGATAAATTAATTATCGGCCGATCAAGTCATTGTCGCCATTAATTATGGAGCAGGATGCTCGGCACAACGGCCTTTTAATAGTTTTTCACACGCCCTCGGGATTCGGAACGCGGGATCTTTGGCAATTAGGAGACAAGAAGCTGGTGAGGTGGGCCGACGAATCGAGATGAAATATGGCGTGAATGGGTCGAGGTTTTATGGCAATGTTTGCTGGCTGAATAACGGCAGCATCGTCTGGGCCATGAATTTAATGCGCTGCAACAGTTAATGATTTTATTGGCACTCCGCGCCCCACTGGGCAACGACTTGGGGGGTGGGTGGAAATGGGCAAACTGGGGAACAGAATCCTCGTAAACAGTCAGTGGGGCTGGGTCGGGAATTTATGACTTGGCCTCATGAATATAATCAATGTCAAGAGCGAGGAGTGCCAACGTAGACGCCAAGAGTCATCTGGGGATCCTGCAACATCCCCCTTCTTTCCAATAAAAATCCCCCTCAAGAAATCTGAGTGCTCTGACCACACGAATCCGGATGAGCAGTAAACGAAGTCGGGGCAAATCTCTTGCCCAAGCTAAAATGGCGTTTCAATTTGCCACTTCCGTTTCCGCAACGTCCCCCAAACATCTTTATCTAAAACTCAATTGGCACAATTCTTTGTCCGTAGTGTCCTTGCCAACGTTTTTTTGGTCCAGCACACTTTTTGCAGGCCCTGCTCGGCATAATCCTTAACCAGTTTCCAGCCACAGCTCCAAACAATTCGATCCGTTGCCCAATAACTTTTTACATTTCACTTTAGCCATTTAACTGCTGTTTTTGGGTTCAAAAACTTCTTAAACACTCTCGCAACGGTTCTGAATGCGCGCGTTCAACCAATAACCAATGGGTTTGAAAGTTCCGATGTAACTGAAACGGCCAACGGCGTGGGCCAAACACAAATAACATGCTACGCAGATGAAAGCTCGCCGGAAGGACTTTAAAGGACGAACGTTAAAAGCTTTCCTTCAAATTGAAAATTAACCGACAGAAACGCTAAGTAATAAAAGGTGACTGGTATAAAATGGGGTTTTTTAGAATATGGCAGCACTGTCGTTTCTAATATAAAAATATGGCAAGTCTGTATAGTGTTTTAGGGTGTCTGGCAACACTCGAGCTTGCATACGATATTTTTATCTTACCCACAAACGGTCACACTTCTTTAATGTTTACAAATTTCACATGCGAAAAGTATAGTTAAAATAAATAGGTAACGAAATATACAATTAAGCAAGAATGGCCCACTATAAAGGTGCCGCCAGCGAGGCGGGCCGTGCCGCCCAGCTAATGAAGAAGCGCGAGATCCAGCAGCAGGAAATCGAATTTCGCAAGAAGAAGATCGAGGAAGAGCTCAAGCTGGAGAAGATCGAGAACAAGTTTGCCACCCATTACGATGCCGTGGAGCAGCAGCTCAAGTCCTCGACCATTGGCCTGGTCACCCTGGACGAGATGAAGGCCAAGCAGGAGGATATAGTGCGGGAACGGGAGAAAAAACTGGCCCAGAAAAAGGACGAAAAGGACCGGGAGAAGCAGCGTGCCCTGGAGGCAATTCAGGCGGAGAAAAACAAGCAGAAGCGCCAGATCCAGGCACTGTCCTTCAACCTGGATGAGGACGAGGAGGGGGATGAAGACCACGATATCGAGGACGAGCCCAAAATAAAGCAGGAGGAAAAACCGAAACTCAAGCCCAAGTGGACGGAGATGCAGGACGAGATTGTGCCCATAAAGAAAAAGAAAATATGCAAAAATCCCGATGTGGACACCTCCTTTTTGCCAGATCGCGAGCGCGAGGAGCAGGAGAACCGACTGCGCGAGCAACTGCGTCAGGAATGGGTGATGCAGCAGGCGGAACTCAAGGACGAAGACATCTCCATCACGTTCAGTTACTGGGATGGGTCAGGCCATCGACGCAGTGTGCTGATGAAGAAGGGCAACTCCATCTACCAGTTTCTGCAAAAGTGCCTCGAGCTGCTGCGCAAGGAGTTCATCGAACTGAAGACCGTAATGGCTGATCAACTGATGTACGTCAAAGAGGATCTAATCCTGCCACACCATTACTCCTTCTACGACTTCATCGTGACCAAGGCTCGCGGCAAATCCGGTCCGCTTTTCCAGTTCGACGTTCACGACGACGTGCGCATGATTAGCGACGCCTCCGTGGAGAAGGAAGAGTCGCATGCGGGCAAGGTGCTCCTCCGCTCCTGGTACGAACGCAACAAGCATATATTTCCTGCCAGCCGCTGGGAGCCCTACGATCCCACCAAATCCTACGACAAGTACACCATCAAGGATAAAGACAAAAGCAAAAAGTAGTTTTTTATTGGATACAACCTTATGAGCAAATTTGCTACCCCTTCTGCCTCCCCCTTTATAAATTACATTATTATAACAATTTATTTAAAAGCTTGTATCACAAACAATAGTTTTTGTTTATTCAAACGAAGCATAATAAGTTGAAATAAAACACCTAAAAAACCATAATAGTTGCCTTTTAAATAAAAGAAAGAATTCATTCTTCCGAGAGCTGAAAGCCAATTCATTTACAATATTGAAAAATATTTACCTTTTATTTTAAATCCCGCGCCTTTTAAATGTGAACTGTGAATGACACTGTTAGCTGTTTTCATTCAGTGCTGCGCTTAACAGCTCTGGCAACTTTCTATATTTTTAATTATTTGGTTTAATGCTAATTTGTAAACATAATAGAAACGAAATTACTTTCAACAATTCATTCATTTAAAAAAAAAATAAATTAGAATGACTGCTTTGGTCTTACCTCAGACGGGGGAAAAATAGCTAGATCTGGCGGAAAAAAAGCTGTCTTGCCATCACATTTGAGAACAAACACTTTTTATTGTGCGTCCTAACAACTAAGCGAAATCGAAACGATCCCCGATAGAAATGTGTATTCCTGTAAGGAATTGTTATCGGTATTCGTATGGTTGACTGCATTTTAATGGCAACCCTGGGCAAAATGCAAATGCATCATCTCTCGATCCCGGAAAACGCCGGTAGAACAGTGTCCGCCGGAAGAAATCTTCGCCACGCCCCCGTTCGCGTGATTACGCCCGTCAAAGTGCCCATCTACGAGTTGCCGGAATACGTCTGCGTGGAGACCAAGTGGGTGACAAGGAGATACGCGATGGAGAACGGTTTACCAGTGAATGAACTCAAGGATGCAATGACCAATGGTGGGGGTTCGCATGTCGTGCCAAAGCCCGCACCGCAGGACAAGTTGAACGAAGCCACTGGGATGTTTGCCAGTGAGGCGACAGCTCCTTGCCGAGAGCGAGCCATTCAAACGGAGGAGCCGAGCACGAGGGATGTGGGCATCCAGTGTCGCCGGAATTCGGTGGAGTGGAATCTGCCCGAGGATCAGCACAAGGGTAGTGCCAGCCAAACCCCTTCATTCGACAGCCAGGAAGGAAGATTCCTAACCTATGTCAGCGAGAAGACCAGCATGTTTCCCAACGGAATGTTGGAGTGCCAGGTGTGCGGCGAAATAGCTCACACTTTGCTGAAGCACCAGGCCCACATGTCCGTGCACTTTGGCCCCAGTGTTCTGTGTTTCCGCTGTGGCCGGCAGTTGGACCACGAGAGCCTAATGAGGCGACACAAACTCAGTTGTCCCGGCCTGGCGCCCAGAAAGTCCACAATGCTCTTCAAGTGCCCGCATCCACTTTGCAATGCCATGAGTCACTCGGAGAAGCAGTTGCTCCAGCACCTGAAAAACCACAGCGGCAGGAATTGCTACCGATGCCTTCAGTGCAGACGATTTTTCAAGTCCACCACCTCCTTTCTGATGCATCGAGAAAAGGAGCAGCAGTGCTCCAAAGCGAAGCTGCTCACCCTCTTCCGAAAACACAACAAGCTGGCCAACGGGAAATCAGATCCCAGGCGATGTACTGTTTGCTTGAAACGCTTTAGCTGCGAGAGGATTTGCTTGAGGCACCGGAGAAAGTGCATCCTCGCACACCACCAACGTCTTTCAAAGACAATGCTTAAGGGACTATGAGTAGCATGTACAATTGTTTGACCTAACTGGTATTTATTAGCATATAGAAATCGATAACAATAAAGCGGGATAATCCTACGACGCCTGCACGCCGTGGGCTTTTTTTAAACCCTGGAACAGCAACTGCTTTTCGCGATTTACTTCCTTCAAGGTCTGGACAGCAAGCTCCAATTGTACCTTCTTCAGCGAATGTTCACTGGCTATGTACTGCTCGATGAACTTCAAACTAATCTCATCGGCGGCGAAATCCTGGTCCGTTTTGCCAATGGCCGTGTGAATCTCCTGCTCGATGCCCTGCTTATCCTCCGGTCGCCGAAAGACGCTCCTTAGTTCCGCCAGAGCAGTCTGCGCCGGCGTGGGATGCAGTTTGTCCAGTTTAGTTAGCGTAGCCTCGTATTCCACCGGGATGTTGTGTACCTTGTAGCTCAGGGCAATCAACTCCACGGCGTTGTGCAGGTAATCCCGGCGGATCATGTCGTACAGCAGATCGTCGATGCAGCGATGCCAGGCGTAGAAGAAGGCCATGGGACCAAAGTGGCGCGTGGAGCGCAGAAGATCGAACTGCTTGGACTCGTTGAGATGCTCGAAGACGCGCGCAGATATATTATGGAATTCGGCCTCATAAGGTTCGTACTGCACAAGGAGGCGATCCAGGATGAACTCGTACTTGTGCTCTGTGAGGCACTTGGACAGCAGTTCCTCCAAGGCAAACATACGAGGAGTGTACGACTGGCGGCCCTCCAGTGGGAAATACAACTGGTTCATGCGCTTGGTGGTGTCCAGAGTGGCGTGCTCCAGAGTTCCGTCCGTTTCCCGGACGAACACCTTACGCTCCGACTGCCGCCGACCGAAGGTGATGTCCGTGAAGACGTACTTGGTGTTGGCAAAGTCTTTAAGCGCGGGATCCTTGTCTATTACGCGCTGCACATCCTTCTTAATCTCTACGATCGGTGGCATTTGGAGCATGTGCTGCGCCCGCAGTACCATGTCCTGGAACTCGGAGTCCAGCTGCTCGTTGGTCATGAACTTAATTTCGCTGCTGTTGTCCGGCACTGTGCGCTTTCGGTAGACCCGATCCAAGTTCAGTTGCGTCATGGACTGGAGCAGCCGCTGGGTTTCTGCGTCCGTGAACAGTGGTTGCGGATCCCGCTCGTACTGCAGTGCGGAGGGTTTGGTGGGGGCCGAGGACACCTGGCGGATAGCCTGCCGCAGTCCTTGGAGCCCATTCAGCTGGCGAAGATGCTTCAGCAGGTGCATTTTAGGTCAAAAAGCCGCAGACAAAAATACACGAGATGAGAGCAGAAATTAGTGACGACACTGCGAGGTTTTGCAACACTGTTTGCTAGTGGTGAGAGCGTAAGGGGTCTCAGGCGCTAGAGGTGGAACAATAACGTATGACGATATATTTTTGGATAGTCCCAAAACGAAAGAATCTTTGAATTGCTGAAAATTCAGCTGAAATATACAGAAAATTTATAATTTGCATGGAACATCTGACCGAATATCAGTAAATTTCTGCTGAATTTTCAGCAATTCAGGGATTCTGACGTTTCGGGAATACCCAAAGTATACTTTTGCTGACTTAATAAACTAAATAAAATATTATAATATTATAGCTGGTAAGTTAGACTTATGTTCCTTTTGAACATTTATTTGTATATTTTCTAAGTAATTAATTTGTCAAAGTATGGCTCGCCAACAAAGCAAATTTTTGATAACTTCATAATCAATGTAATTGTTGAAACGAGTTTATTACATATATATGTCGTAGTTCTAGGCGATGATGATGTTTATATTTAGGAACATAGGCCCAGCTGCTCTAGAAATCATATTTCAAATATTTACATAAATTTCTCAGATTTAATTACCTTTACTAGTTGGACCAGTGCTGCGTAGTCTTCGAGGGTATTTTTCCGCTCGTATTTTGCTCGTGATCTGGCTGCGGTCACACTGGTTACTTGCATTTTAGCTGGAAGAAAAAGCTGCAGGAAAAAAATTGGCAATAAAAAGCAGCAGCAGCCTCTATCATGGACAAGGCCGAAGTGGGCAGCGCGTGCCTCGCCGCGCCAAAGCGCCGCTATCCGGCCAGCGAGCGTTGTGGGCGGGAGCCGGCAGGCACGCCCCCACAGCCTCCGCAGCGAGAAATCCCGACCGAGGAGGAGCCGCAGACGAAACAGCGCAAAAAAGAGGAGGGATTGCAGCACATCTCGGACTCGCACTCGGACTCGGGCCCCAACCTGATGGACCTTTGCGACGAGCTGCTCTGCGAGATCTTCCAGTACCTGGACACCTTCTCCATCATGGCGGTGATGCAGTGAGTCTCCCCTTATCAGTTGCGTTGCAGAAATCTCTTGAGATAGCGGTACTATCCATATATGGGGAATCCCTAATATTTATCTTGAATTTATACGTTTTGACCAAAATTAATTCCAAAACGATGTATTTCAGCATAAATCTTTATGATGTATGTAGGTATACGAAATTTCTAGTTAATGGCAGTTAATGCCTTGGTCTTCCCAAGCGGCATACTTGTCATTATTATTCAACTTTAATCACAGTGTGATTTTATATTTAATTTATTAAAACTAAGTAACATGACGTATTAGTTATACAATACATGCCGGACATTAAGGCATTGTTAAAATCTGCAAGATTAATAATCTTATGTTAAATTTAATTTACAATAGTTTATAGATTTATGAGATTTCTGCAACCTCTATAGTACCATTTTCCCAATAACCGTGATCAACCCACAAAATGTTATAGCTGCTCGCCGCGTTTGGAGAACCTACTTCTGGACCGCCGATTCTATCACCGCATAGATCTCAGTAACGGACCGCTGCCAATGGGAATACTCGAGGAGATTCTCGGCCGAGCTACGGAAAAGACGCACACCATCAAGATATGCGGACCGCCATCCTCGCAGCATGTTGCCGGCGAGTTCCGCCAATTCACCCAGACGTTGAGCTCCGTCTTTCCCAAGGTGGCCAACCAGCTGAAGGTGCTGGAACTGCAAGGCGTGAGCCTGGACTTCGAATACGTAGGTTGTACCCCAAGCATTACCCCAATTGACTACAGTGCCCTTGCCATTTTAGATACACATATCCGAGTTCCCGGTCTCGTTGAAGCGTCTGATGCTGAAAGATTGCAGCGTGAAAGTGGGCAACAATGTCAAGAGCATATTTCACACCATAGAGATGCATCTGGTGGACCTAGAGGTGCGTTCCAATTCGAAAAGATCCTCTAGCTAATAACTTTCGTTCTATATTCTGAAGGATCTCAGCATCGAAGACAACAACTGGTTCGAGCCGTATTACATTATGGCCCTCTCAAAGCTGCCTTCCTTGCGACGTCTTAGTCTTAAGGGCTGTCAGACGCTCTGTAAGTTTGTGCCGTACGGCAGCATGGCGGCCCGCTTTGGTTTTCAGAAACTGGAGGTTAGATCTGGTCTAGTGCAGTATAAATAGTGAGCGCCAATTTGAATACACTATATTTTTCAGGCGCTTGACTTACGCTTGACTCCCATCACCAACTCTGATCTGCAGTGCTTCAGCGCCATCGAGAACCTCAAGGAGCTGCTGCTGGAGTCGCCGCCCAACTTGCACCCCGAACAGACCTCCGCGGAGAAGACCAACAACGGCAACGCCACTGACGAGACTGCGCCCCCGCAGCCGGATTCGCTTAAACTGCTTAACGACGATGAGCCGTCCACATCGCGGGCCGCCATGGAGCACCTGCGTGCATGCAAGATTGCGCAGGCCAAGGACGAGGGTGCCGATATGTTCAACTCTGACAACTGCAACGAGAGAAAGGAGGAGGAGCAGTCTGCGGCCCCGACAGAGTCTGCTTCGAATATCCAAGACATCCTTGGGAAAAGGATCAGAGCCCCGTCGGAATCCGAGGATGAGGACACATCCTCCACCTCGGCTACCTCGGCGTCCTCGTCGGACAAATCGGAGGTTGCTTCGCCGCGCAGCAATGGCCACAGTGGTCGCGCCCCCCTGCGCTCGCCGCTGGTGGTTATTGCATTGCCCAGCGTGGCCGCGGATGTTCCACCACGTCCAGTTCCGCCGGCAGTGGATGCGGACAATCCCGATGCCCCCGGGCAGGAGGCCAGACCGGTGCCCTCGCCGCGCGCTTACATATACGTACCCGAAGCTAATCCACCCGGGAATGAAAATCCCAGACAACAGCGGAATATGGTGGCCATTATTGAACAGGCGGAACATTTTCGCAACTGGCGCGGCAATAATCCCGCCTTCAGCCGTTTCCTGCCGCGTCACGATCAGGTTATCTACATGAATCCCACGAACCCGGTGGTCGTAATGCATCCACGACGTCATCGGTCACATACGCGTCCGAACTTCGACCAGGTGGTGCAGCATCCGATGTTTTGGAACATGCTGGACCCGCTGGATCGCGACCACAGCCGGCGAATTCGTCACCGCCCGTCGACCTGTCAGGCCTCACCTCAGTACTTTGTGTCCGATCGGGCGATCTATAGCTTTGGCCGAGCGACGCGACCCGTGCAGCCGGACGTTGTGTGGATCCGGAACGTCAACCGCTCGCCGGACAACAGACTGGAGCGGCTGTCGTTGCGCAACTACCACCTCATCACAAATCACACGCTGGAGCATCTGGTTCAGTGTTCGCCGAATCTTGTCTACATCGATGTGAGCGGCACGAGCATAACGCTTTCGGGACTGCGGCGCTTTCAGAGCAGCAAGCCGGAGTGCGAGGTGGTGGCCAGCCACTTGGCGGCGGCTGAGGAAGCCGATGAGGATTTCGCGGAAGTGTCGAAGGAAGACGTCGGGGAGGAGGAGGAGGAGGTTGTGCTACCCAGCGGAGACGAAACGGATCATGACCAGCTGCCACCGAAATCACCGCCTCCATCCCAGCAACTAGCGGTCCCATAGAAGATATACCGCCCTCCTCCCACTAACTATATTGTTTGTTGTATCCTGTTGTACTGTGAACATTTTTCTGTCGAATTGGGCCGTGCTGGATATTAGGATTTTAGCAAGACGACGACGACGACGACGACATGGCCAAGCCGAAAAACCCACAACGCTGGCTACAAGCGAGTGCTGTAGCTCAGCCCACTAGTATTACGTTCCGAACTAATCACGCCCTTGTACTATACACCAGGCTCAATGCATTGTATAAACCCAAGAATCCCAACACCACAATAACAATTCCTCTAGATAGGCATTAAAGAACGAGCGATCATTTTGGTATACGTATAATGAATAATGAAATGCTTATTTGGTAGCTCTGTAGCGAGTAAGGACAGATCAATAATTTGTTTGGTGCTTCGGTCAGCGAGTTAAAAAATGTTTATAAATTGTGGAAAATCGTGTAAAATTGAGAATTGTGTGGGAGTCGGTTACTTGTCATTAGAGGCCGCCTCTTCCTCCTCGGCATCCGACTCGTCTTCGGTGTCATCAGTCTCCGTTTCCGAATCGCTGGAGCTCTGGCAATCGGCTATTTCGCCAGTGAAGAAGATCACCGCCTTGGGAATCACACGCTCCTTAAGATAAAAGCCCAGTTCAAAGTCGTTTTGCAGTATGGCCTGTGGATGACAAATGTATTTTGTTTCTGGAAAATGGACTAATCCGATCTTACGTTGATGTCACAGTAGTTGGGATCCTCGGTGTCGTCCGGCAAAACGGGCGGTGAAAAGAAGTCAAAGAAGGACGACTGCTCGATGGTGTCGTCTGAAGTAGGAGTTTGTGTAACTGATAATCATGGCAATTCGGATAACCTTACCCTTCTTCTGGCGGTCCTTGGCCTGCTTCCAATCGATTTTGCAGCCCACGCACTTGTAGATCTCGGCGCCGTCGTACGAGAGCGGGTCTTCCGGATCCGGCAGGCAATTGAGGAAGTACGTCTTGGTCAGCACCGTGTTGGTGAAGAAATCGTTGGGGTCAAAGTGGAACTCGATGTCGAACTTCACGACCGGATCGTTATGGAGCCGGGCACGGATATCGCACAAGCACTGTGCAAAAAATCAAAGCCACATCAGTAATGGATATAATTAAAAATTGTTTTAAGCATCTAAATTAATTTTAAGTGATACGAAATGTGTACTGTTTTTTGAGTGCGACTTTTGATTAAGGAACCTCTGACTTAGTCTAGGGTCAACAACCATTGCGCAATCTCTTGTTTAATATGGTTACCAAGCAAAAAATTCTACTAGGCATTAATAGTTAATATTAATGGTCCAATACTCACTTCCAATATTTTCTCGTCCTTCTTGCTTATGAACTCTGTATACGAGGCTTTGAGAACCTTTAACCAGAAATTAGGTACGCTTAGATTTGGTTCCGAGTCACCGTAGTTTTGTTTCCTAAATTCACTGTGTACGATTCGGATTGGTTAATGCTGACCAGGCAGAACATAAAGTGACTTACTCTAGAATCTTTTTGCGCTTCTCGAAAATGACATTATGTTTTTCCTGGAAGTTCTTCTCCAAATTGTAAATCTCTTTCTGAAGGGCAACGTCTAGATCTATGGTCTCCAGATAAAGCTGTTTCAGTTTGGTAATCGTCTTCTTTTCGTCTTCGCTGTACTTCATTTCAGGCTAAATGCAGGCATAGCGTCAGTTTAACATGCCCATATCAATTCACACCAAGTCACTCACATGCGATTCTGTTTTCGGTGCCGGAGGAGTACCGAACTTAATCCGAGCCGCGTTCCTGTTCCGCATGGGATCCATCGCTGGATCGACGAGTGGTCTTTGGTTCGCCATTTGGTGGCTCTTCCTCTGCGCAAGGATTTACAAGCAAATTTTTCGAAAGTTTCGCCTTTTTGCTGCGATTGTTTTCAAGTTTTAATTTTGTAATATACGTTGATATATGGTGTAGACTTGACTGATGTCGTTAGAATGAATGTAGTAGGGCATCAAAAGTTCGAGCACAAAAATCAGCGCCCACTTTTTAAATATGTATTGAATATCATTTTAAATTAAGCACTTGATAGCCAAAACTTTAAGATCTAAGAAAAGCATTTAAAATGTACCTATCAATTCAAACCTAAGGGTTAATTGACTTTGGGGCTAGTCGGCCTTTAAAAAATATAAACCCACTCTCAATTAAACCCTTTATAGCCACCATTTAAGATCCAAACCTAACTTTTGACATAGGATGTATTGTTTGTTTTAACAAATAGGTAACAAATAATTAACTAAAAGGTAAAATGATCATGGCTTTCAATTTTTTTCTGAAATTTAATTACTAACTAACTGTTTTCGATTCATTTTTTAGATTATTGGCATAAATAATGTCCTACTAAGGCTAGTATTTTGGTCATCCATCTTTTCTCTATGTGTAAATGTCTTGGGGCATATTGTTTCTGGCTTAAGAACCCTTTTGCTTTGTGTTGCCATTGAGATGCAGGCCATGTTTATTGGCAATTTAACGCACATTTAATTTCTGTTTTTTCCGGTTTATATTTTTGGTTTCCTCAATTTTTTTTTGCCTCCCTCCAACTTTTCATTTGGCATGTAATTAAGTGTGGGCCAGATGCTTTGGGGTGGGAATGCCGCTTAAGTGTATGCAAATCACGTGCTGAGTGCTGCCGGGGTTCAGCCATCGCCTCCTGGAGTCTGTTAAATGGTCCGAGCTCAGTTCTCGGTTTTCCGTTTTCAAAGAGTTCGGCCAGTTTTGGGTTGTCTTTTGTCGCTGGTTTTAATAATGTGGGCCAGCCTTAGTGCCATATGTCAGGCTGTGAAAAACAGCAAAAAACGTAGAAAAAAACAAGTGAGTTTTGTCGCCCCAGGCAAACATTTCAAAATTAAATTATGAGTGGGACACTCGGCGGCTGGCGAAAAAAACTGTAAACAAATTTAGCCAAGCGGAAGTCCAGACATACACACATTTCATACACACACACACACTCACTCACACGCACCCGCTAAGGGAAAACCGCAGAGGAAAAGTGGAAAACAGCGAGATCGCATTGTTGTGCGCTGCTGAATGTTTGCTTACAAATACACATCGCGCATGTACGCAGTGCATGTCCAGTTTCCAAAGGACATTCCCACACCGATACCCATTCCAACCACCCCCTTAGCTGTCCTCATATTTGATATTATTAAATTTTTTTCCCTAAATACCGCTGGGAAATTAAAAAGAAATCATAAGGCAAATAGTGTAGGGCAGCCAGCCATCTTATGATGACGGCTTGGCTCGCCAATTCCGAGATTTATGTAAGTGTATGCCTACACAGTACAAAAAGCTTGACAATCCCCAACATTTTTAATTTAATCCAATTCTATACTTTTCTAATAGCTAAACTTTTATACAAGTAATACAACAAATGTATAAAAATTCAAGTACACAAGAAATATAATGAGTATAAATGTATATTGTGCTTATCTTTTTTATATTTATATTGTTTAAGCAAATATTTAAATAATACTTTAAAAGATGTATATGGTTTTTATAAAGAAAGTCCGTATTTTTGGGTCAACATCGTCAGAAAATACTTGAATAAATCTAGGAGAATTAAATCTGGTTTTTATTGAATTATGAGTTTTGAGTGATGTATAGCTTTCCAATTCAAACCTTTGCCAATTTCGGCTGCCTGTACCGTGGCCCTTTAAGTGCGAAGCATTTTAAGCTGTTCAGGCACTTTCAATTTACATTTCGGTCATTCAATTAGAAGGTGCATAAAATGAAGCTACATAAGTAATGGAGCAGCCTCATCATCATCATCATCATCGTCATCATAAGGCGGAGTACGGCTATGGCCATCACCCACGTGATTGCCGTTCGTCGGAGGTCGTCAGTGCCGGGAGCGTCAACATAGTTTGAATTTAATTAAAACCGAAATTAGTAAAGCCCAGAGCAGAACAGGTCTGGGGCAGCCCGACCAGGCGGAGCAACAGTTACTTACTTGGCGCAGGGATTAGAGCTCCTGCTGTTCCTGCTGTTCCCGCTGCTGGTGCTGCTGCAGCTCCTTCCTAGCAAAAGTGCATGTCTGCAGAAAATCGAATCAGCAGCTCAACGTCCTCATCCCGCCATCCCGACATCCTGGAGCTCCATTCCACATTCACCTGGTCCTGGAGCTCCGGCGCCATGCCGAAATATCTGCAACAAAAGCATAAGATGTAGTGCGGCATTTGATGATGAAACGACGTGTTAATTAAGGTCATAATAATTCAACTTAAATTGAAAACTTGCCCGGCTAGCAACGCAGCTCCTTTTTGGATGGCCGGGCAGGGCCGGGTCGAAATCCTTGCAGGCTAAGCTGATTGCAACAAATTATTTTGCACCTTGGTTGAACTTTCCTTGAGCTGCAGACAGCATTGGCGTTGATAAACGAATTTTGTTAGTTTGCTTTGCTTATTTTAAATGGAACTAGGTGCTTGGAGGCGGATGGGTGCAGATAGCCGGGTAGTGGTCCAAAGTCCGCAGTCCACAGTACAAGGGACAAGGGCCAATGTTGCCTTTGGTTTTGCATAAACCAGACAACGCATCTAATAAGTTGCAGCTGTCGGTTGCCACCCTCTGCTTTTCAGTTGGCGAAAGAAGTTTCAAGTTTTTACTGGTCCCCGCCTAATGCCTCAAAGTGCAGAGCTGTGTTTGCCATTAAATGTTATTAGTTAAATGATAATTAACAGTTGGAAAACTTGCAAAATATCTCCAGCTAATTTGCATAGCCAACTAATTGGCTTAGAGGGTCATTGCTTTTGGTATTTTTCGGCGTAATACCTTTGCTGCTGCACAGCGAAAATGAGCATAAAACGAGATCGACAACTCATTAATTCAATTATTTAAATGTAAAATGCAAATGTTTCATATTTGATAACATCTCCAAAAAAAAAAGTTAAAGCTATACTCATTTTATATTAAATCAAACAAATAAAAATTCATAATATCAATAAAGTATGCCAATAAAAATATATAAAAAAAATATTAAAAGCACATAATTTTGATTATATTTGCAAAATTATTTAACTTCGACAAAACTATACTTTAAAAACCAAATGAAAAGTACGAATTTGACAATATAATCAACTTTAGATACAACTATGTTTAAAGAATTTAATTAAAATTAAAAAAGAAATTACTAATTTGAAAAACATTATTTACTGATTTAATAATTAAACAAGCGAATTCCTATTAATAAAAGTCTATGTTTCGTACCAATAAGAAATGTTACTGAAATATTACTGTACGTTAAATAAAACTATAAATTGTAATTTCAAATAAATTTAAAAGAAAATTAATAGAATTTGAAAAATATAAAATATCAATGGTAAAACGGTTTTAATATGTCTATGTGATTTTAAACGACATTAAATGATATTTAGTTGAAATACATTTTTTTCTCGAGTGCCTCGATAAAATGGTAGCTTAGATGCTCATAATTAACAGGCATTCACCTGCAGTTCGTCTTGCCCGACATCCTAATTCGAATGCTATTCATAACGCACACACACGTGTGCGCACAAGGAGCATTTCCTTGCCAGCCGCAGGATAGTTTGGCAAACGCTTCCTTGGCGCCTCAGCCAGCACAGCCTCCTCAGACACCTCCGCCGCCCGAAAACTTTTTACTAATTTACATTCATTACACACATTTGCAATAAAACTAGAAACCCAACTCGTACACAAATTCAGACACCCTTGTGTGTGTACATAGAGGCTGGCAGGAGTATATACAACTACATACATTGACATTTTACATGCTTCATTAGCGTGTAAGCGCGGTAATAATGAAATTTCCTTATGGCTGCACCGCATTTCCCAGGAATTGGGCAAAACTCCTGCATATTGATGCAAAGTTTTGGTGGCAGTGGCGCATAACTTGCGGCTATGTTACCGCGCAATTTATGCTCCTTCTTGGCACCACTTAAGGCACTTTAATGTTTTGCCGGATTGCCGCTGATTGTCCCATGGTAAAAATAATAATAAAAAAAAAAAGAACAGACAATGACAATCGAAATTGCTCAGCATTTCGACAATCAAATCAGCCAACAAGACAAACACGAAAACACAAAGCGAAGACATAGACATACAAATTTGTCAGCAGTCAGTCAAAAATGAGCAGCGGAAATGATGGCAGCGCTTGGCGGAAACGGAACGCGACAAGGTGGATGGGTGGTTCGTTGGGTGGCTCTTTCCTTTCCGAGTGCTTTTGGAAAACTGTAGGGACTGTAGGGAGAAGTGGTGCAAATCTGCTGCACAGCTGATGCCGCCACATGACCTCCCCGTGACTTTTGCCTGCCTGCCGTGCTGCTGGCTGAAATTAAAATTGCATTACGGGCCAGGGCAGGCAACGTATTGGGTTCAGATTTGGGTTGGCTTTTGCCTTGAATCGTTTCGGTTTGCTGATGCTGCTCCACTTGCACAGAGGAAAACCCACAACGAAATTCTATATATATATTTTTTATTTTTAAATATTTTCATTGTATTTTCATCGATTTTCCCCCATTGGTGATACTGAGCAGAAAAGTTTTGCATTATTCCATTTCAAAAGGTAAGACATTTTATAAAAAAAATTAATAAAAAATGTATTTGATTTCTCTATTACTGTTTTTAATATCCTGTTTATATTTGATTACATATTTAAGCTCTTTATAAAAGTCACTGCTGGTATATTTTTTAACAAAACTTATAAACTTTCAGTTATTTGTAATTCAATACTTATTGCATAATTTTTTAATTCCATACATCATTTTGATTACACTGTCACTGTAAAAGTCTTTTGTAGCCTTTTCCAGGAAAATTTGTATATTTATATATTTACCTAATGTTTGTGATTTCATTTATAAATCGAAATTTAGTTGAATATATATGCCTGTGTTTTTTCGACTGTTAGCTCATGTGTTTGTGCTGCTCCCATAAATATTTCAATATTTGTGCACATTTGAAGCTGCTTAGCCACGCCCAGTGCCAACAGCACCAGCAAGCAAGTCAGGCAGGAAATAGTTTAATTAAAATTCCTATGGCAATGTCATTAAGGACATTACATTTTGTAGATTCTGCTGTTGCTGCTGTTGCTGCTGCTCAAGGTATTTGGAGAGGCCTGCCAGGACGAAGGACATTTCAATAAGACACGAAGCAGCCCGGTCAGCCAAGGACCAATGAATTTCATTGTTTTCGCATGCAAATTTGCAATGTGCCAAGCCGAACAAAGCGTGGAGAAAGTCACAAAACTCAAAACACAAAGCAGCAAACAAAAGTTAAACGGCGCGACCCTTTTAAGGGCCATAACGGCATGTAAATTCCTTTAGCACGCCCCATCGATATTGTTTCCCATCGTCTTCCGCCGACGATGATGAGGAGTCCCGCTGAAAAGTGGGAAAAATAAGAGCATAAAACCTAAATGCAAACAGCCAAATGTTCAATGTAAAAAAAAAAACAACAAATCGTATACACAATGCATATAAAAGACCAAATAAAAATGAAGAAAAGGCAGAGCAAAGAACAAAGAAGCGGCTAGGAAAACAACAAGATTAAAATGAAAACAATCATGACAATCAGGGACCGCAAATGTCAAATTAAATTATCAATAAATTCCCACCATGGAGCCATGACCGACGCAAATTCGTTCTTTGCTTTTTGTCGCCGATGGCACTGGCAATATCAAGTATACGCCACCGCCACAGTTCACCAGGACCATCAGCAGAAGCAGCATCACGATGGACATCACCACCCCCGCCAACGATGGGGCGTTTGTAGCACATAATGAAATCATTTACAAAATGAAAACAACAGCAGCAGAAGTAGCAGCAGCAAACCAATTAGCACTGATAAAAAAAACTTTCGAAACAAAGAAATTAATCAAATAAATCATTGATTCAGCGGCTTAAGAGTCCAATAAAAAATGTAACCTTTTAAAAGATTATAAAAAGTAAGTCTTTTAATGGTATTATTAGGTAATTTACTTAATTTGAAATTTGAGCCAACATTTCGAAAAAGATTATAACATTAATTTGTCAATTTTTAGATTTTTAAGCTATTAAAAGGTTTTTGGTGATGTCTAAACTTGTTGTTTCCTGAAAATGATATTTGACTTCTTACAGTAACTCCCTGAAACACCTTCAATTCCTAATATTCTACTGTTGTCTTTTTTTGTATTAATTTCGTGTTAAGACATTAACGGGTTAAATTAAGTTTTTAAAAAAAATAGTTATTATCATTAATTTAATTACAGTTTTCTCTCACTGCATCGATTGAGACTGCTGCGACAAAACAGCGATGGCAGGATGCGTATTTAGCATGATTTTGCCTGTGGGGTATGTGTGATGTGATGTGGTCGTTCCAGTGTCCCTGTTCGCGGCATTCCATCGTACTCGACAAGTAGAGAACTTTGCACGCCGTTGAGTTGACGGCACTCTGGCAGAAGGAAAAAATAAAGGCACACTTGCAAATCATAAAACAACAGACGCGAAGAAAATGGTTTTTAAATCTTCATAAATATTCATTATGGGAGCGGGGCATGGCAAATAGTTTGGGGCAGTCGGGCACTTGGACACTTGGACACTGGCCAGTCCTGCTGGGGAAACAGGCCGGCACAAGACTCCAATGGGCGGTAAGCTCCATTTTCGCAGATGGCAGTACAAGAAGTTTGCAAGAAAACAAAAACAAAAACAGAACAGAAACGGCCGAAATAACAATAAACTGGCTCGAGGAGCGTAAGTAAGAAAAGAAAATGAATTGAGGGCGCATTTCAAGTGTGTGTCGGCCTTGAAGCGTGAAGATGAGGCCTGAACCCGAGTCTAAGTTCATGTCCATGGCCACAATGGCCGAAATGGTTCAAATGGTCAATGGTACGAGACCAGCAGAATTAGCAAACAACTATAAATAACAAGGAACACCACAGAACAGAAGGGAGCACCACAAAGCTGTCAATTAGCAGAGTTCCGTACTTCATTTTACAATTTTCGAACATTTAGGGGACGGCAGCATAAAAACTCAATATTAATCAATAAACATAAACGCATGGTCAAGTTTTAGGTTATTAAAAAAATGCTTAAACTTTTTACTTTGTGTTTGGCAAACGACTTTATATTCTCTTTTTTTCCATCCTGTAATTTGGCAAGTTTTTTTTATTTATATACAATATTTCATCAACAAAAACCATTTAAAACAGTTTCGATTGTCGTTTAGGTCTAGATAACTTTTGATATTACATTTTACATTTTACTTTGCAAAAATTAAGATAAGGATTTAAGTTAAACTTTTTTTTTGTTTAAGTCAAGTACTAAAGTCTTGAAACTGTAAAAGTGTTTATTATTAAGTTTTGGTTTTTTAAAGGATATCAAATAAAGAGAAAATATCCCTTGCCATTAAGGACTTATAACGACCAATTTCCTATTTAAGTTAAACTGAAGCTTTAGAAAGCTTTCAGCTTTTAAACTCTTAAGGGAATTTGTTAGCACAATATTTACTTGAAAGTAGGTTAAATTAGCAAGGCACTTATGTGTTTGTATGCATGTGATTGAAATAAAATAAATTTAATATTATTTGTAAAGATTAACTCATACATATTTAAATTTGGTGTTTATAAACCTAGCTTAAAGTGGACTTATGAAAAATATTATTTGTTTGTTTATTTTCTCAAAATACATTTTTTCCTGTTTTATTAAAGATAAAACAATTTTTTAATATTAAATTTAACCGTAACTAATTCGCCTTGAATTAAGTACCACAGTCCACCCAGTATTCTCTCTTAAGTTCCACAAACATTCCCTCTTTGTGCGGGATATTCTCTCTTCGTGTGTGGCACACATTTATTGCGGCTGTCGAACTGCAAGCGAAAAGAGCAACAGCAACAACCACATCGAGCGGAGGAGGCTGTAATACCAATTACATTGAGCCAGTCCTTCGTACGCACCCCCTTTCTCGTCCTTTCTCCCACGCCCCTGCCTTCGGGTGCGCTCGCTTCGGCTAACTGTTGAATCAACGAGTGGTTGCCGAAGGCTACTTCGGCGCGTTTCGTGCGACCTCCGACGACTGAATTCTACGGTCTTCAGTTCTTTTCGAATCGCGCTAGCAGACGGTTGTGTTTTCTCTCGTCCCACTGCCACTCAAAAAATAAGTGTTTCAATTGAATTTACACAAGTTCGAGCCGAAAATCGAAGCATGATACTACATTATCAAAGGTGTTAAATTAAATTCGCTTAAGCAATCTAGGAGAAATCAACTCGAAAAAACTTTACCATAACTGGCAAAAAATAGTGCTTAGAAAAAAATCAAGTTGAAAAACCATTTATAACTATTAAATAACTATCAATTTAATACTGTCGATAAACAGTGAGTGTTTTAAAACCGGTAAACTAAATTAGCGTTTCGGGACTTACGGTTCTAAAACTGGTTCGATTTTCTTCCCTCGTGTCGTCCTTTACCGTTTTTGGCATCCACGCGTGCTCTCTCGTCCTGTCAAAATCGCCCTCTCTCTCGCGAAGTACCGTGAGGCCTACACCGCCGACCAAGAGTTCAGCACCGCCTATCGCACACTCCCGCCATAAATTGCGATTAGTCGCAGAACAACCAAATGCGAAAGCAAGACGCAGATTTTTAATTAAATTAAGATTGAAAAATACTAGCCGCCACAACAGCAGCCACGCCAAATGTAAACAATCAGCACTGGATATTAAATATTTAAATACTTGCTCTTGGAAAATTGAACGGCTTTTTAAATTAGGACTCCACGACACTTCCGTGCGCATTTTAAAGTGACATATCCTATGTGTGTCCTGTGTCCCAGAGATCCCATACATATGCAATAGATGGTGTGTGTGCCAAGCCAAAACAGCCATAAATAAAGCCAGGCAAACAAATAAACAAACGAACAATCGGGTCAAAGTGCTTAGTCAGGCTAACAGACCAAAAAGAATCACAAAACGACAGGGACAATCTCCCAGTTTTCGTGCGAGGTAAGTCCGGTCACCTGTTGAGAGTGGAATCCTTAATACAATTATTCATATGCACATCCAGATACAAAGCAGCGTTGACGAGTGGCATTAAGGGAAATAAAGCAATCGCACGATTTAATTGCAGTCATTGTTTTTTTTTCCACTGCCGCTGCTGCATTTTAAATGGCCGTGCTGCAATCATTCAGCTGCATAATTAATATAAAATAAAGCTATGCGATTTTCACGATTGTTTTTTTTTCCGTTGCATTTTTCTCCCTTGCTGTTTTGTTGTTTGTATTTTTTAACAATTAATTAAAAATATGTATGATGTGTTTTCGCACTTCAATTGGTTGCCAGGAATCTATTTTATTTTTTTTCGGTGCCAGTTTATCATTTTTTTTTCCATAAATTGCTATTTGCCGTAGGCGTTTGGCCATGGCAAATTGCGAATTGCAATTTGAAAGGTTTGAAACATTGTAAAACTGGAGTTTATACAGAAAACAATTATGCGCCAGTTGAAAAAACACCGAGCGGATCTGATTGAAATGGCATAAATCCAAAAGAAAAAGCAAAGCTCTGGATGTGACAATCACAGTTCGTTTACTCGCATAATATGCCAGTGGAGCTTAACCGATTGATATGTGTATAAATTATGAATATTCGCAGCTATATTTGCGGTATGCTATTTTGTTGGTTGAATAAAATTCTTAAATTCTGTAATGAAATTGAATTTGGAAAATGGATTTAATAAAACATTTTATATTAAACTTGCCTTAAACTGAAATAGATCAATTACAATAATAATCCTAATAATATATATTATAACCAATTTCACAAAATATTACTCGCTTAAAAGCAAGGAAAAGTTAACTTTAATCAATAAATAAAGTTAATAAATATTCAGAGAAATACCTTTTCAATGTTCCACTTCCCTACCTTTTCGTTCGAAAATAGCTCAGTATTATTTCCAATAAAAAAGGGTTAAGGTCAAAGAAACAGTTTCAATATATGAAACCTGTATGTGTGTGGTGAAAATGGGGTTTTAAATTAAACTCATGCATATCGTAAATATATATTTTCACCCAGGCAACGTATCGGCAACTTTAATTTCCGTTTAATACTGCGGGCAGCCGCCAGCGCTTAAAAATGAAAGACATATCAATAAATAAGTACGTCCCGCCCGCGGAGGAAAATCGAGGAGTCAACACCCAGCGTACACACAGCACACACAAACGAACTCACACGCACATTGGGGCATAAATAAGCCAACGCACATAATGGTTAAATAATTAAAGACGCACAAAAGCCACAGCAATCACATGCCATAATAGTTAAAGACATTCATATTTATATGTATATTTATTGAGCTGCATTCATCGGTTCATTGGTCGAGTTCGACAGCAATTATTCAGGATACCCAGCATCCCGGACTGTTCGAAGTGCCATTAATTCCCACTGCAAGAGAGCCCCCAACCAGACCTGCAAAATGCAATTTAATTTAAGAGCCAGCAACTCTATTAAGTTCCAATTGTTATTCAAAATTCCAAACACAAACTAGGGGCGCATATCTCATGATTATGGGGGCGCGTGTGGGCGTGGCTGCTGGCGTTGCTGCTGCTGCTGTGGTAATTGTTTTAAAGCATTCGTACATAAATTTGGCTAATTAAACAAGACCGCACAAGCACATAGGAAAATATTCCATAATAATGGTATAATGTAAATACTACCATCCACCGGGGCGACCACAGACAACTAGTCGAACATTTCAGGCCAGCTCCGTGCATATGTTCAACTATATTGGCCTCCATGGCGATGGCAATGACAATAATAGCAACAAAGCATAATTCATAACAATAAAATGCGTCACAGAGCCAGGCACGCACTGACTGCAATTGGCTTTAATTCAATTGTGCGTGCATCGATTGGTCCTTGGTTATTACCTGATTTCTCATCCTCGTCCTCGTCCTTTTCCTTTTCCTGTTCCTGTATCCTGTTCCTGAAGTCAGGCATAGGAACTCCGAACGTATTAGTTCATTCGCCACACTGGAATTCATAATTAATTATCGACATTTAATTACAAATTGTATTTGCTGAGATGAGAGATTAATAGAGTGGCTGGCAGGAGAATTATTTGGTTACATGGTCACCAAGGCAAATGAATAAGTCTCTTAGTCTAATTACTCTGAGAGCTAGTTGTTTGCTTAAAGTTGGACACCATTGATCAACACGTTTTAAGCAGCTTACTGTTTAGATACTATTTCTGTGTCGCAAATGCCATACTAATTCTGCTTTTTTTCTAACATTTTACTCAGTTCTTTTACATTATCTATAACCCCCTAATAAATATGAATTTGCTTTCTTTCCGGCTATTTTCCAGCTCACCCATTTCACAGTTCATTTTCCTTTCTAAGGTTTATCGTGTTTCCCCCCCGGTCACTTCCAACTATTGACTAATTAAAAAAAATAAACGAAAGGAGAATGAAATCTAGATGCCATAATAAGCAACTATTTCGGGTGCTTTTTACTTTTCTTATTCCATGGACCGTGTATTTGCTTGATGTTAAAATTTCTGGCCAAATGGCAAGAGCAAAAGCAAAATAGGGAATGTCCATGCCTCGCACAAACAGAGGAGCTACAGTAGATTTCTCGTATTTTTCCAAATGACCCAATAAATTTGAGCTCATTATGACGCCAAGCCACGCTCTTCACTGCCTTTGTTTGTGGCCCGCAAAAAAAAAAACAAAAATAAAATAAACAGAAAATGGTAGAAGCAGCGAGTAAGTAAAATAAATGTGGCAGCAATCGTAGCGCAAGGAGGAAAATAAAAATGAGCCAGCAGCTCAGGTAATTGCTGTAAGAGGGCTAAAAACCGGGGCAATGAGCGTTGGCTGGCGCATAATGAGCGTGAAAATAGTGAAAATATGAAAACATCTTCGGGCGCAGAAAATAGTGAAAATATGAAAACGTCTTCGGGCGCAGAATTACTGAGGGGTAAACGCAATCTTTGATTTGCTAATGGCTAATTCTGCAACCAGTGCACAATAGTATGCTACGATTCCTTTTATTGTCAATATTTTATAAAAATGACGATTCGCTTGGAGAAATTTTCCAGTTAGCAAAAGAACCCTTTTTACGTGATTGCCATGAAAGGCATTTTGGGTACTAAAACTACATTTATTATTTTTAATTATTTTAAGGAAATATTTTTTTTAATATATATTTTTCTATTTATTATAAGTTTGTATTACTTTTTATACAGTTTCCATTCTTTTAATTGTTCTTTAAAGCATTAGCTTTAGTAAATAAAAGTATTTTTAATAAACCAAAACTTTTGAAGTGTGCTACGATTCTTGTAATTGTCAATGTTTTTAAAACGCAAAAGAATGCCAGGAAGGTGTTCTTTCAAAGTAAGTTCTATTTTAAATTTCTTAAAGAAATATTTTGTTAAAAATATATTTTTCTACTTGCTTAATTATAAAGTTTCTTTTCTTCAATTTGGTATTTAAAGCCTTCTAAGAGAAAAAAATCATTTTTAAATAATTAAGACAATGAAGTAAACAAAAAAAGGATTACTCAAAACTTTTCAAGTTATTAAAGGAGTTATCGAGAAGTTCTGAAAAAGCACATTTAATATGTTGATTTAAAGAAGATTTAATGGTGTAAGCTCGACTTGGATTCCTGGGAAATTAGGTTAACCACCACTCTATATTTTATCTCCGCATTTGATGCTTGATTTCACAGTATTTGGTTGGACTTCAAATTATGCTGCAATTTCGGTTAGCCAGGCTGCGCTCGACTAAAATCCCTGCTTATGCGCTTTATTGCGGCTAATTAGGATGCCGTTGCTGCAGTTGCCGCTGGAGCTTCAGTTGCACTTGCAGCTGCAGCTGTTGCTGTGTTGCTGTTGCTGTTGCAGTTGCATTTTCGGCTACCGGGCTAATGCCAAGGACTACACACTCACAGATGCGTCGTTTGTTTAGCCATCCGAGTGTGCACATTTGAATAATTAATTTGTGCAGTGGTAATTTACACGTTGGTTGACTGGCTTTTTGGTCGGCATTGGGTTGTGCGGCTGTGAATCGCTCTCGGGGCCGTGGCAGAATGTTATTTGATTATTTGGCTGCTGCAATTGCGTTCGTTTTGTGGGTGGCCTTGTGTGGGCTCAAGTGGGAGGTATGATATGGCATATTTATGACACTGGTAATTAAATTTAATTGTTGCACTTCTCTGGCCACGCCCCCATGGCTTCACGTTTCGCTGCGGTCGTGGACCCATAACTTACCCCACTAACGTCCGTCGTGCACGCATTCGCGTTTTGGTTATCCTCAGGCCTTTGCCTCTTTGTTTTTTTTTTTTCGAGCCTGTTGGCCTTCGCTACTTGTCAACGGGCATTGGCTTTTGTTTTATACCCAAGGCATTTGTTTTCCTCGCGGCTTTATTGTCGCCCTTGTCCATTATGGTTTGACACACTCTACTTAGAGCTACTTTGCGTGCTGGCCCTGATATGATAAGGTTAGCTGGAGCCACCAACTGGCGGCCAAATTTCATTCAGCCGGAATACCCCCTCGACGGCCAGTTGTCGACTTAATTGCAATGCTAAACGCTAAATCATAGCCTCACGTGCACCACGTAATTAGCTTAAATTGTAAGCTGTTGTTATAGGACTCAGTCTGGGTGTGTGTGTTAGTCTGGCTGCATGTGTGTGCGTGCTGCTAATTAGGCTTGAGCTCAGTGCACTACACGACATAAACATTATCATCCCACCAGCTATCACAAAGTATTACATTTTACTTTACAATATTATTGAAAGAACATTTTAAATTATACGATAAAGGTTACATGAATATATTGTTTCTTTAAAGCAATTTTTTTCGACTTACACTTTTTTTTTTAAATATTCTATTCTGCATTTAACACAATCCATTAAGAGATTCATTTTCTATTTTGCAATTCTTTCTTTTTTAAAACATTTCATGTTATAAATTTGGCAATAAATAAAAAACTCCATACTATTGCATAAT